AATATATCAATTTTTGGCTTCATCAGAGGTTAGTTTTACTTTATTTGGTAATTTTTTAGAATATATCGTCTTTGTTGGAATTGTTGAGACATGAGTTGCTTGAGTTTCTCCATTGTGTCTCCATGGTTGGATTTTAATTCAAGTCCCTTTGGTGTTTGAGAGCAGCTGGACATCCAACTGCATGATCGCAGAAAGATTTCAGGGCAGCTTGATTTTTTATCATCACGTGGAGCCTTCAGATTTTCGAATGAGAGTACGAAATGGTAAGATATCTTTTCTCAAGCATACTGTAGTTCATACTTCTATCAGCTGTAAGTTTTGAGGATGCAATTATGCACTCCATGTTTCCAATACTAGCACAATGTTCATAGATTTAGGAGCAGGACCACAAGGTATCTGAGCATCAGATGCTAAATTAAGCTTTACTATTTAAAGTACAGAGGGATAAAAAATGAAGTGTATGTCATCTGGACTATATTGCAGATACAAACGGAGGTTAATATGTAACTTCCCTTTTATGTATTGTATCATTTGTTGGCTAGGCTCAATGTTTCAGCCTCAAGGTCATTCAGGTGGAGTAATGAGGAATTAAGGATTGCGTCTGGTGGTGAAAATGTCACCTGTCTGCAACACCATTTAAAGCTTTCCAGTGCATATCATGGGGTTCCTGTAAGATGTTCGATATTCTTAAATTCTCAGTTTTTGACCATTGTAGTTATATTCTACTCTGCATATGAATCTAAATTTCATTGGCTGGTACGTTTTAAAAAGGAAATCATCAATGTAATCATGTAATTTACTAACTTCGGAATTAATCCAAAAAATTAAGCTTTAGAGGACTAACTGAAAGTTTAAAAATTAAGAAGCAGAAGTTTATACCCTTTAAAGAAAGTGCTAATGTCAATGATCAGAGATGAATATCAAAATTTAAATATCCAACAAGGAATCACCAAAAGAAGCCTTGAAAGAAGTTACACAAATGAACTTGCATTGCAGTGGGTGGGCACAGTAGATTCCCGAGGATTTGAGGTCAACCATGGAGGAAAATTCTGAGGAAATTAGTTAGCAAGTGGATATGAGTTCCAATATCTGTAAATGGTAGGGGACAGAGACTACTGTGTGTGCAAAAAGGAACTTACTAGGAATGCGTAATGGCTGAAAAGTCAAAGATTGTGAAAGATGGACTAAGAAAGTGTGTTGTTTGTATCGTCAAATTTTGTATTAAAGTAAGATGCAAATGGCTACAATAAAATCTTGAGAATTGAGATAGAAAGGATATAAATTTAGGTTTTGGTATAATGGAGAGCTGCACAACTTAAAATTAAAATTCTAAGTTTTTTTGTTGAAGATTCTTTTGTTATACATATGTATTATTATATGATTTATATATAGTAAAAATTAATTTTACCATTCATCATATGTTGGGATACAGATACGATTTAAGAAAATTATGCGTTTCAACTCACGAATTAACGACATTGATTCAACTTTTAATGGTTTTTGAAACATAGGGCAGAGTGCAGAGTTATTTGCCCTGCGATTTTAGTTTCATTTACTCTCTCTCACACAAGTCATCTAAATTTTCTAGGGAAGTTTTAAAACAAGAGATGCTAATGGAGAACCTTTGGTAACTTCATTCCACTCCAAGTTTATGGGAACTGTTGATTATATATGGTAAAATTTCAATGTTTAAAGCACTCTCTGTCATGCTTTGGCCATGAGAACTTTAGTTACTGGCTTTGATTATCGTCTCAGGCACTCAGAAGAACTTGTCCCGGTTAGGGTTCTGGAAACATTGCCCGTTGATGCATTAAAGAAAACTGGAGGGCTCCCAAGTGAGGTACTTATGAAATGTAGTAATTGTTTTTATGACTGTTTGTTAAGGTGCATTGTTTCTAGTCAGGAGAACTCTCAATTTTCCTCAAGATACCTTACCATTATTTAAGTTGCCAAATTTGTACCTATTTTCCCACTTTTCTCTCCAATTTGTTATAAATCCTTTGAGCAGTTGATGAGTTTACTAACAATTTGATAGGAGGGTGTATCAGTTATTAACCAAATTATTGGTTATAAATAGAGGGGGTGAGATGAAGGTAAGCCATTGTTTAGTGTGGTTTAGGGTTGAGTAAGAATACTTAAGGGAGGGGAGGGTCCAAGTACCTTGAATTACTTGGGAGTTATTGCTGTTTTTCTCTCTTTTATATTTCAATATATTTGAGTATTTAGGGTAGGCTCTATCAGGCCTTCTTTATCATAATCATTGATGATTGATATTCTCTCCCGATTATGAAGATTTCAAGAGAGAGCCAATATATTGTTCTGATCACTGGCTTTTTTTCTTTTCAAAGTCTTCTTTTTGCTTTCAATTAAGATTCATAAAATCATCCCTAAAAATGTGGAGAGAATTTGGGAGGGGATCAGGGAAACCCCCGAAAATAAATGAAGGTCTTCCTTTCGTCTCATCCCTCAAATCCATCAATAGTGTTGATAGGACCCAGAAGAGGAATCCTGATTGTTAAATTCAAAATCTCTTGTGCTTTAGGGAAAAAAAAAGTCCATACATCCGAAAGAAACCCACAACAACTGGATATAGCATATATTATTATTATTTCAATTATCACTTTATTCTTTTTCAAACAAAATCTTATGTGGTAGCTACTTTTTTCTTGTTATCAAGTCTATGTTATGCTATCATGCAGAAATGGGGCAGCGATCATCTTGCTCTTGTGTGTGAACTGGCCTTTGATGATGATGGCAACGGACTTGACTATTTAATTTTAATCATGCCAGATTGAAGCATCCCCTTAATTTTTATTGAATGGAGGTTGTTTCTTCACCATTTCCTTTTCAGTGTTCTGCATGATGGAATTTGAGTAATTGACTAGATCACTTGTATTGTTAGGGGGAAATAGCATCAGAGTCCTTAGGAAATGCACAATATGATGGATTAGCACGTTTAGTAGATAAAATATAGTAGAAACTGTATTTTCAGTCCTAAATTTATGGATTTGAAGAAACTGCCTCGAACATACCCCATTTATAATTTTTTTTTTTTTTTTTTTTTGCAAACCCATTTTGACCTTCTGCAACTTGTATAATTCTAGGCTGACTGTAAAACTCTTCTTCAGCTTATACTTTGACTTGTACACAGATTTGTTATTGAGAAACTTTCATGCAACTCTTAGATATTTTTGGGTTGAAAGGTAGTCTTGTCTAAATATTTATAAAAGTGGGTGGTGTCAGTTCGTTCTTTATCCTTTAATGTTGGGGTAAAAAAATGTGGTTTCTAATTAATTTCTGTTTCTGTGGGGGAAAAAAAGGTGGTGGTGTTTGCCGATTGTTGATGTCATGTCCAAGGTTCCAACTTTATGGTGAAGGAGTGATGTTCCCAAAATAAATTGTGCAGCTAAGATTCGATTCTTCCACCAATCTCGCCTTCATCTGTCCCAAGGTGAAGAGCCCCACCTTTTTGTGTAACATGTGTAGTTACATTGAACATTATGTGAGGGAAGGAAATAAACTATGCGCGGCATAATGATGCGTTTGTCGTTTGCTTGTTCGAACGTGAAACGCTTTGTTTTCCCTTAATTTTCTATATAACACTTGGTCGATTGATATTTATAGGTTCGGAGAATTGGCCTGCTATCGTTGTGTTTCTAAAACTGACTGACCAACTTTAGTTCGGTGGATTTTGGTATGGTAGTTTGATTTTTCGAACTTCTATTTGGAATGACTTTTAGAATGGTATAGAGGTATTTTTAACTCGTTAAATATACTTCTCAAAATTTTGGTGTTCTTTACGGTTATTTCAAATTGTATAATCAATATGTGGTATACATGAAACAAATTATGTAAATTTATGAATTAAAATGGTGTCCAAGTTACTTTGTCATTTTTTTTACCAAGATAGTTGCAAAATTGACTTGAGTTGTTTTGAAAAAATCTTCAACTCGACTCGATCAATTTGTCAATTTTCCAATCCAACTTGGTGATTCGACCTCATATTTCTTTCCATAAAAAAAAAGATCGAATTGCATCGAGTTTGRTTATATGTATGGCAAGATCCCGACCATTGAAAATTAAATAACATGTCACATGAACCTCTTTACCACGACATATGACCAATCTATGAGCAAGTGGAAATTACGATGATGATTGCTAAGAATTAGCTCTTTCATTTCAACTTGCATTCACTTATTATTTTAGCATTTAAATTTCGAATCAGTGGAAAAATGTCACTTCCTTCACCAAAAACCAATAAATAAAATTACTCTCACATTGAAGTATTCAAACTATCACGTTTTAACTAATTTTAAWWYATTTTTTAGTAGCTCCGAAAAACATATCTATATTGAAATAACTTGAGTTCTTAATATAAAGAAAATACTCTGCTCCTTATCAATAAGGATCACTCATGATTTGTTGTTTTAAGGTTTATTATGAGGACTTTTTTTTTTACCTAAAAATATAAATATTACGAATTTTTATGTTTATTTAAATTTTTTTGGTAAACTTTTAAATATTTGTATTYGTATGTTACGTGAGAAATCAATTAATTAGTTTTTGGTGTTAAATTTTCATAAATAGTTTAACATAAATCTAACATGACATGTAATAAGTAGGTCGTGGGTTTTTAAATGGTTGAGATGTCCAAACAGAGTATAGTTCAATAGTAATTGATATATATATCTCCAAGTGAGTTCGATTTCCCATCTCACATGTTATACTAAAAAAAAGTTTGAGTTTTTTTATTTTTTGTTAAATTACTTATTAACTAATTGCTAATATTATTATAGTCCTTTGTGGGAAATTTGAAGACTYAACGAATGAAGGATGAATAATATTTTTAGTTCAAATGTCACGTCAGTGTTTTTTTCCCTCTCTCTTTCCTGTACAAGGAGAGAATTAGATCTAGATCTCATGAAAATTAAACGAGCAAATTCATCACTTTTAAAGAGTACGAGGACCAAAATAGAAGTTTTAAAAGGTAAAATGATTAAAATGATGAACAATATTTAGAAGTACGGAGACCAAATTAAACCAAAGTCAAAAATATAAAGACCAAAATATAGTATTTAAACCAAATAATAATTATCATGCATCAAACACTTATTGAATCAAATTTTCAATTTTATAATCATTTTATGTTTTGCCAGAASAAAACTTTGTTTTAAATTATATTATATGATGACCTACTTAATGTTGCACATTTTAAAARACRTTCAAATAAAAAATAAATATATGTGGGTTTAAAGTGAGCTTATAATATAATGGAATAATAATGTAGAAATGCAGAGTGAAATATGTGGCTTTTGGTGTTCCTCTGTTGTTTTTCCTCCTAAGTTTCCAAGCAATGCAAAAAGGCAGACAGACTCACTGTTCCAAAGTCATCCTAATTTGTCAATTCATGACAAGGAAAAAGTTTTCAGCACCCCATCATTTTTCCAGTCAAACTATTCTTTAACTTTGTAAATTAAATTAATACCACCATATTTTAGAAAAAGCTAAGTTGAAGAAAAATAAATGTCAAAGAGAAAAAACGAAATTGAAAAAATTAAAATTAAAATGTGGTGATGTTTCAATCTTGTGTTTTATAGATCCGTGAGTTTTAAAAAGTTTTGAATAGACCAATAACTTATTCCAGTAAAATTATTAGCCTAGAGACCCATTTTCAAACTTGTAACTTGACCTTGAAAATATATATATTCTGTCTTTAATATTTTGGYCTTTGAACTACTTTCAAAACATCTATTTTAGTTATCGAACCTGATAAAATTATCATTTTGGGTCTCACCATTATTTTGTGGTTGATAGTTTTATAGACAAATAATGTTATCTTCMAATGTGTGTATTAACGTATTGATGTAAACATATATTGAAGATAAATAAGTTGTTGGGTTTGGATATTCGTTGAGTTGATATTAAGATGCGGAAGAATCGTAAAAAATAAAGTATTTATCTTTTAAGAAATTCAAATACTAAAATTGTTATTTTAAAAGTTTAAAATCTAAAATAATTACTTCAAATTCAAAAACTATAATTGATACCTTGAAAATTGGATCAAATAAACTTAAAAATTTTAGGTAAAATTGTCCAACCACGCCAATTATCTTGAAAACACATTATTTATTACAATCAAACCCAAATTTCTTCAATGCCATAAAGRAAAAAAAAATCTCTTTCCTAACTTTTTGTTTTGTTAAGTCAAGATGTCAAGCTCAATTATGATTTGAAAAYCATTTTAACGATCAATGTTATAGTTTTCAGAATTTGAGAGTGTGATTGTAACAACTATTGATGCAGGATTTTAGATAAAATAACGAGGCGGCTTTTAATTTGAAGTGGACATYCAATCAGCCGAGATGATGACTTTTAATTTTAGATGAAATGACTAGTCGACTTTTAATACTCAACCACGTACACTTTGACGCTTAAGTTAATACTTGTTTGAACTCCAAGCTTAGTTAGATTGCGTAGAAGTTGCTTATCTTCGTGAGAAATTGACTTGTTTTTATAAGAAAAGTCTCTACTCATTTCATTCATTCATTCAGTGTCTATGGTAATTCTWACTTTTTGAACATGATATTTAGTAGATTTCACTTCGACAGCATCCATGTTTTAAAATCGATACCAAGTTGGGCTTCCGCCTATTTAGGCCAGAGGTGACTTTGCTTATTCGAGCTAAGGGTCAAACACGTGCATTTTGCACGAGAGAATCGTCCTATCTCGAACACGTGTTTCTGGATGAGAGGATGCAGGCTAAGATTCCATCCTAACAACAAATATACAGTTAAAGGGTGATTTTTACACTTTCTTCAAATTTTAATTTAAAGAAGAGAAGAAAAAAGAAAAGCAAAGTAACCAAACGGACTTCCAAGAGTCGCAACTATAAAGTGATTGGTGGTTTTCCTTTCCTTTCAACTATTTTGCGTGACAGATGTGGAACTTTCGAGTGACGTCAGTTTCTGGAATCACAATGACGTCACTACATGTCAGTGTGCAAAATCCAACGGCTGAAAACGATTCTGTTGTTAAAATATAACCGATCTTCAATATTTTTAACACGCTTTTCAAGGAAGCACTAACCAAAAAGTCATACATTACATTTCTTTATTAATTTACGGGATTCTATACTTTTTATTTTTCTCACCGAATTACTTTAATTCCTCTTTTTTTTTTTTTTTCCTGAGCTCTTTATATTCCCCATTAATTAAGGGCCAGGGGTACCGCAATTTTCCTTCAATTCGAAATGGGAAGGGAAAAAAGGAGAAGGGGGGTACCGGAAAACAGCGACGGAATTGGTGTAAAGAAGACAAAGAACGAGGAGCAGGCGGCGGCGGCGGCGGCGGAGGAGCCGACGGACGAGGAGGTGGAGGAGTTTTTTGTGATACTGCGGCGGATGAAGGAAGCGGTGGAGTATTTCGGAGGGAGGAAGAGGGCATTGACGGAGAGTTTGATCGGAGCGGCGGCGGATCGGGAAGAGAAGGAGGAGGAGGAGGAGGAGAAGGAGCCGGCGGGGATGGAACGCCGTGGGAAGGGGACGGAAGTGGTGGAGGAAAATGGGTTGAGGTTGGATTTGAATATAGCGGTGGCGGTGGAGAGCGACGGCGGGTGAGACGTGCGAGGGAGATTTTCCTGTCAGATCGGAAGGATCGCTCGCCGCCGTCGGACCATATACGAGGATTCCAAGTTTTTTTTCCTTCTTGTCTTGTAAAAATATTACTATATAACAAGTTTTATATATTTTTTTCCTTTTTATAACTATAAGAGATCTACTGTATAATAAGTTACTTGTTTTTATAGATCTATATATCCGACCCTCTGTGCTACAATCCATGGGGTCAATTCTTGGCCAAACATAATTCTATGGTCTTTAGCTATGAGTTCGAAATTTGAATTTAATCACTTCATAATTTCAATTCATTCTCAATTTAAATTAAATTGCTTCTATTTCCTAAAACATATATCAAATATGAACTATCTATCGAAGTTCTAAAATGTAAATATAAATATGTGTCAGTAGGGGAGTCGAAGAGACTTTGTGAATTGAAATAGAGTTTTATTTGCATTTGAACTTACAATTTAGATACCTTAAATCTTAAATTTGTCTATGACTTTGATATCATTGAACTTACAATGATATCTTTAAACTTACAACTTAGGTACCATAATAAATTAATTAAAATATGATGCATTGGTTGCTACCTAATTTAGATTCTTTTTGTAGTATTTATAAACTTCAATTGGCCATGTGGAGAAAATTAGGCCCTCTACATAAGGTAGTCGACATCTTTTTTTTTTGGCTTTCAAACGTTCCGACATATATCTCCAATTGAGAAGTTGTCATGTTGTACTAAAAAATTCACCTAATTTTTTTATTTTTTATTTAGTTTTAGGCAAAATATGTCGAGTAATTCTCAATTTAATTATTAATTTAAAAAAAAATCAATTCGATCCCTTGATATACTAAAAAAAAATATCAATTAATTCATTTTTGTTAAAAAAAGAAAAAAATGTTTATAGAAAGCTGATGGATCATAAAATTATTGTTTTATTAATCTATTCGATTACATTGACATACCACTACTTGCAGATGCCGCTTCAAATAAATTGGGTTGGAT